TAACTTCACTGAACTTGTTACAACAAAGCTTTTTCCCCAAGAAGTGAAGCCCGGAACCAATAATATAGATGTAATTAAGCCTACAACAATAAAATATTTAGCTAATATTGCCTTATTTTTGACCATTTCCTTATGAGAAAAGTCATTCTCAATTTGGGAGATACTGACCTGAAGCTTTTGATGCAGTAAACAGCATCTCAGATCCGGAGGGCCACTAGCTAATCTAACAAAAGGTAGAAATGTAAACATTATAAAGTTAAATCCTCCACACCTGCATACATTGTCTTAAATAATAGCAAATCAAAAAAAGGGTCAAATATACAGGTAAAAACAGCTCCCACCCCCAGCATTTCACCTAGCAGCTGGTTTCAGCAGACCAAGTAGTGCCTGAACAAGCCCAGAAGTTGGGCTACATTTACTCTCAGGATAACTCTGAAGCTCAAGGATTCACATTAGCACAAAACAGACACATCCTGCATTGCCTGGACAGTCTCCATTTGGATGTCGAAGGGGTAACACTTTCATGGAACAAGTTAAGCATCTTTGACTTTTTTCTTCTAATGTCAGGACAGAAGCCAAGTGTTGCTATAAGCTTCTTCCTCATTAACATAATGGCGCACTCTCAATCGAGCTTCCTCCAGACATCTCAAAGTTTTCAAAGGAGGGCTCAGGTGCTTTTCCCCACTGCCAATTCTTCCTTGCCTTAAGGAAGGAGAGTAAGCAGCAAAATCAGAGTATTTTTCAAAGTCATAGTTGAAGTCACAGCCATCTGCTACTGATGCAAAGAATATTTTCAGTGACAAAACAGCAGCAACTCTTACCCTGGAATAAGGTAGTTGTTCTCCCATCTATAGCGCATTTCTAACACAAATTCTTGCCAAAGATGTGCCACTCCTTTTACTCCACCATGGTAGAAGTTTATCATGCAAAGACACAGAGCTAGTTTGTACGTCAGACTATCAGAAGGAGCAGATTTAAACTGACTGAAGAGATTCTACATGACAAATAAGAGAAAGCAGGAAATACAAATAAAAATGACATATTTAAAGTTTCTCTTCCAAAAGTATACGGCCTGTGTCCTGTTTGTCAGTACAAGTGGATAAACAAAAATCTTCGCACTCTAAGTATAAACCACCAAAAAGGATCATCCGTACAAAAGGCAAGGGGGAACCCAAGAATATTCATTCACTTTTTCAACCTGGAAGTTCCACAAACAGAAGTTTCTTTCTCCAACAATTCTCTGTTATAAAATACAGGCAACCACAGCAAAGCCTGTATGAACATATACTCAAAATCTTCCTTCCCCCACCCTCTGCCAGCAACCCACCCCAGCAGTAAAACTTACATAATCTTCATTCTCTGGAGAAGAATTGTTTCCTGTTGAAATACTAGTTCTGCTTTCAGATCCATCTGTGAGTTTGTCAGCAGCATCAGGAAATAAAAACTTAAAGAAACAAACAAACAAAAAGTTCTCTCAGTATATGTTTTCTGTTCATACTCTCCTTCTCAAAGTTATTGTTTATTATAAACTATCAAACACTATAAATAAAATAATTAGAGTTCAGAATTCATTTTAAGTTTGTTTATATTGTATAGACTTCTAACAATCTAGGCTATATTTCACAATGCTGATCAGTGCAATTAATGACAGCTAATTGTTCTGCATCAAACTTATAACTCCACTATGCTGCACTATCAGATAATGAAATATAAAAAAAGGCATTAGTGAAAGCAAACAATATACTTTATGCATGTGGAGAGCTCACTCACCAGCAGAATAGCATTCAGAACTTCATTATTTAAAGGTGATTCATCTACACCTCTGTGTTTGCGAATTTTTTTCTTTGCACTGTGAACCATATTTGTAACAGATAATTTATGGATTGGGACTGGTGCAGGCTCTGTAAGCTTCGACAAAGCATGGGTAATATCAGCAACATCTATAAAA